AAAATAATCATGACTGATCAAAAGGCAGAGAATAAGTTACTGCTGAGTGCTGAGCCACTAACAAGACATCTATATCACATTTTTCTCTGAGGTTTAAACACAGCTGCAAAAGGGGATGATGGGGGGGCAGGGAAAGACTGGGGGACTGGTATGAAGCAGTGTCTTCTGGCTGTGACAGGACTTCCACACTCCTGAACTCACAGCCATGTTCTGGCACATCAATCCAGTTGATATTCGAGTATTGTCTAGAAAGGGCTTCATCACCACCACCCCCATGACTGACAAGCTATGACTAGTAGGAAGAGTCAGTTATCTTATGGAAGTGGCTCCTGGTAGGTTAAACATACTCAGTAGAAGACCCTATATCCAGAAATACAAGGAGAGTACAACTTGGAGTCAATGGACTATTACAGCTAAATTAAATAGAGGGCCAAATGAAATAGATATTATGTAAGTAGACTTATGTGTTAAAATCCTTTATTAGAGGGGTAATCATTTTTAAATGGAGACTATAAGAATTACCAAAAATATGTCATCAGTATCATTGTTAGTTATTTTTAAATGTTGATAAGCTGTGAAAGAAACTGATAGATTTGGAAAGACTTTTCACTCAGTTGAAACCCCACTTTCAATCCCAAAATATACAATGGAAAAGGAGAAGAAATCAACTCTTTTAAATCATCTAGGAAGATTTGCAGAAGAAGTAATAATTTTACCATCAACTAATTAGCAGGAAATGAGATTAGCCTTGCTGAAGACCAGGAACCATGTCCAATGACACATTGGCTGATAATTGATGGACTTACCCTCACATGTTTCCTACATTCATTTGACCTAGAAGCACCTATTTGCTTGGAATTCCTGTCAAACTGAAAGGTACCAAAAGTTTTCCTTGCTAGGGGGGAATTAGGAGTGGAATGAAATTTTCAGCTCTCATTTCCTCTGTGATCTAAGTTTTTAAACAGATATCAACTTGCACTCAATAAATCAGTTCACCAGTTCTCATCTCAACTATCAAACCTAATGCTTGTATTATAATTCTTAGTTTAAAACATAAAGTCAAATGAATACAAACTTCCTAAATAGGATATAGATATTTTTCAGTATTTATTTAAATTGAAGAACAGAATATCTTCAAAATAAATATTAAGTATAATATTGAAAATACTATAAATTAAGATAGTTCTAAAAATAGTTGATACCATGATTTGTTTAGTATTGGTTCTTTCCTATTATAATAATTTGTATAATAGAATAAAGGGCATCAAATAGTTTCTAATAATATAACTATTAAAAAAGGAAAAATTTATATATATATATATATATATATATATATAAGCTACACTTAGGTTCTTAAGTAGTAAAGCCTTGAACAACTGATTTATCATGATTTATCCTCACTGTCATGTCTTTGAAATTAGACAACTTATCTCTTTTCCATAACTTGATATAAAACATTGACATCCCTTAGTTTTTCAAATATATTAACTCTATCTATATTATAGTGTACTTAAACAATATGTCTTCTTTTTATTTTTTGTCTTTTTGAATTAGCACTCTGAAGTAGTATTTAAACTACATATTTTAATCTCTTTCTCTTATTCCCTTTTATGTGTATGTGTGTTTTCTATTCTGTGTATGTGTGTTTCTGTGTGTGCACATGTGTGCAAGTACCTGCCAAAGCCAGAAGAGGGTATCATATCCCCCGGAGACAGAGTTACAGGTGGTAGTGAGTCATCCATAATTGGTGCTGGAACTGAATTTTGGTCATTTGTAAAAGCAGTGACAGCATTTAAACACTGAGAAATTTCATTATTCCCATCTAAGAATACTTTTCAACGTATTGTAATAGAAACCTGAGAGAAATTGTTCCACTATTTTAATATTCAAAGTTTTCATTCTACAAGGATCAATATGTCAAAGTTATATGAAAGTGTTGAAAGAGGAAAATATATTTTGCATTGAAACATGATTCTTTACTTTCTTTAATTTAATTGCACTGAGGCAAAGTTACACATTCATCTCTTAGAAATGTAAGGAAATGGTGATGATAGATACCTCTTCCTAGGAAAGGAAAATGGAACAGATAGTTACAGACGGATGAGAAGAATGCAACAGAAAGATCAAGTGAGGGAGAGAAAGCAAAGAATGGGATGAGGGAGGGAATAGTGAAAGGAACAGCTAAACTTAAGGGCCATTGGGGGGGGTGGTCATATGGAAATCTAATCAGTAGAAGCTTCCTAAAATATATACATATATGAAGATGATCTAAATAAAATGGCTAAGTAATGGAGGAGGCAGAGTCCCAGCTGACTATCTCTTATCACCAAACCAAGCTTATAGTACTGGATTTGGGAAACATTTAATTGAATTGTTGGCCAAAAGGGCTCTGTGGCAATCCTCAAGCAACCCATACTATTGCCAAGACTAGGTTGCTCTCCACAAATGACAAAACTCTACAGAGGGAGAAAATACGAATATAACTCATTGAAGACGGAGATGTTGAGCCAGTGCCTACAGAGAGCCATTCACCTCTGTGTTCCAGTGTCTGTGAATGGTGCTCTGCACACTGTCAAAAGGGAAACAAAAGCACCAAGCCAGTCACAAACACTTTATATTGAATGGTGTACTGTCTGAAAGGTATACTGGAGATATGGTGGTATAAAGGCTGGGGGAGTAACTAACCAATAACTGATTTGACATAAGGTCAATCCTACATGATGGAACTCATACCTAGACACTGCTTGGGTGACCAAGAACCTGAAAGCAGATAGCTCAGGGATACAGGATAAAACCCAGTAAGTTAAGTCTAAGAAAAAAATGTAAAAAAATAAAAATAAAATAAAATAAAAAAGGAAGAAAGAAAGAAAAGAAAAAGAAAATGACTCCTAATGACATTCTGCTATACTCATAGATCAGTGCCTTGCTCAACCATCATCAGAAAAGCTTCCTTCTGCAGCAGTTTGGAGCAAATATAGAGAACCACAGACAGACAATGCACAGGGAGTGAGATTCCTGGGAACACTCAGCCATAATGGGATAGCTCCATCAAATCCGCCCAGGGTCAGGTGAACCTCTGTGGAAGAGGAGGCAGAAAGACCCTAATAGTCAGAGGGGATGGAGGATAAGAAAGCAAGTCTCTCTAATCAGCATGAGCAAAGCTCATATGAACACAGAGACTTAAGTAGCATATTCAGGGCCTGAATGGGTCTGTACCAGGTCCTCTGCATATTTATTTCCAGTTCGGTGTTTTTATGGGATTCCTGAGTGTGTGAATGTACAAGTCTCTTTACTCTCATGCCTTGTCCTGGGATCTTTTACTTCTATTGGTTTGTCTTGTCCAACTTTGATGTTATAGTGTTTCTTTAATCTTATTATATTTTATTTTGTGCTATTTTTAAATGAATTAATGAATGAAAACCTAGCCTTCAGGGTAAAGGTTAACAACTCAACTGTTGCTTAACCTGCTGGAGAGGGAAAAATCAGTTTTCTCCAACGAAGTGACAATGGATATATCAGCACCTCCAAGGTAGGCCTCCTGTTCAGGAGTAGTTGACTAACTTATAATGGACTCAATAGCTTTTTTGTGTATGCTTTTATCTGGTTATAGTTTGGTGTTTTCTCTTTCCCTTTTTTCTTTTTTCTTTTGGGTGTGTGTGTGGTTTTCTTCTTCCTTCTTTCTTGTGTTATATTGGATTTTTATTTATTTATTTATTTATTTATTTTTTTGAGAAAGTCCTTGAAGTTGCTTGGTTACAGAGGGGGGCGGGATCTGGTAGGACTTGGGGGATTGGAAGAATATCATCAAATATATCTAAATTTAAAGACTGTTTTAAATAATAGAAAAGAAAACAAATAAATGGGTCTCTAATAATCGTGAAAAGCAGAACAGCTGGATGAGAGTTACCTCCCACAGAGCACATGTGTGCAGCATGTCCTTTATATTCTCTGGTAGTTTTCAGTCCTGTCGTTTGCAGCTTCAAACAAAGCAGTTCATTGCTCCAAACTGGGAAAATGAGGTTGATGACTACTGAAAGTATGTCTAACCATTTGGAGCGGAAGACTAGTATCTGAAAAAGAACATGTCAGAGCAAGAAGTCAGGTCAGGTCATGAGATGTTTCAGACATTAAAAAACAAAACACCTAGTTTTTTGATGAGTTGTGTTTGTTTTGTTTTCATGGATTTCAGAGACTTAAAAATATTAGTATTTAAATTATACTTGAATTCTGATTGTTACATTAGAGAAAACAAGTGTACTTACTGTCCCAAAAGCTGTGTTTACATTTTTTACAAGTACATCAGTACTCATTACTTGCTCTCCTTGAGATCCACTTCCTCTAAGAATGTGTAATTACCATTGTAATTAAAAGTAACTTTTCTATTATTTGAGTTTCCCAAAGCAGGGCATAGAGTGGACATGGGAAATATGAACTAGTTGATTTGGGGCAAAGGATTTACGGGTATGTGCCTCAGTGAAGACAGAGGGAAGTTTTGTTCATTTGGAATCCTCTGTACAAACTGAATGAATGATTAGGAAGTAGCTTCAGAAGAAAAGGTATCAATTTAAGTACAGGGAAGGAGTAAAGAGTGTGTGTGTGTATGTTGGTCACATTTTCTCATAATCCTAATAAATTGTTCATGTGGAAACAAGGTAAGAGAATTCATACTCAAACATTTGAAGCAAATTGTCTTTTGTATTTATTTATTTTTATTATTTAAAATACTTTTTAAATTTAAATATATTTTGATTTAAGTTCTTCTCAAAAACACAAACCCAATATAACAATAACCCCCCAAAACAATACCCAAATAGAAAACAAAATGAAACAAAACAAACAAACAAAAATATTGAATTGTAAGCAACTAAGCACTCACAATATATATATTTTATATATATATATATATAAAGACCATTATATGTCCATCAACTACTGATGAAAATTAGCACTGCCTTGGTAAAATCTTGTCATCATAGACATATTAAATTGAATATAATAAATAAAAGTGAAAATAATTCCTTTGTCACAATTATCATACCAGCATCTCTGTAAATATGAGCCAGGCAGCCATCAGTTCTATTACATACAAAAACTATGGGCAAGCTATTGCCAGTCTTCTTAAAAAATTGAGTTCTTTAAAGACTGGGTGGAGCTGAATGTAATTAAGACTTGTGTTTAAATTATAATGTCATAATATATGGTAAGAATACAAAAAATAACGTTATGTCAGAGGCAGTTGTCAAAATATTTTTAAATATTTAATTCCATTTTAGCCTCATTAATTGAGTGTTTTTTAAGTGGGGGAAAAGATGTCCATTTCATAAAACAAATATTTTAAGAAAAGCAACAAAAGTACTTGGTATTTACAATTATATTTAAACATTAGCAGATACAATATATTATGTTTATAAAAAAGTATTTTACAAATATTCCATAGATATGGATATGAACAACCAAAAGGATTTAATATTCATTGAGTATCCATTAAGCTTACACACTGATCTGGGTACCAGAAAAAAATAGGAAATATGATTATAAGATACCTTTATTTTGTAAGCTTTCATTCTACACACAGAAGCATATTGTTATAGTACATGTCAATAAAGCCCTGAGAAGATAGCATTCTTAAAATGGGGCAGTTTCTTTCATATAGAAAAAGATAAAGGAGGTTTCATATATATGTGTGTGCATATGTGCATGTGTGTGTAAATACTTATCACGGCATATAAAAAGCATATATAAACATATTTCAACAGGTATCAAAATCATAAGCAAGGGAGTATGATAATCATAGATTCCAAACATAGGGGAATAAAATCCAATAAAACAACAAAAAGAATCTACTAGTAGCTCAATCTTGTAAAAATTAAATGAAAAAAAAAATCAATCACACGAGGAACTGAGGAGATGCCTCAGTAGATAAAATGCTTGTTTTGCAAACACAAGGACCTGAGTTGGCTTCCCATGATACATGTAAAGAAACTCAATGTGCATCACAGTATGCGGGAGAGGAGAAGGATTGCTGGAGCTGGTAGCCAGCCTGTCCATCCTATTCAGTGAACCCTAGGCCAAGAGACTCTGTCTCAGAAACTGAGGCTGATAAAATGACACCAAAGTCTGTCCTCTGGCCTCCACAAGCATATGCACAATTATCTGCTCCCTCCCCATAGCCACATAGCGAATCATAGTAGTATAAGAGGTCAGTCATACACAGCAATAAACAAACAAAAGAAATGATGAGATTTACCTTGAATGAAAACAAAGGGTTATTTTGTACTTTTTATAACAAATTGGCCTTGTGAGCCTGCCATAACAAATAGCTTGTATGCTGTGGTAGTTTATACAGTATAATTTTACTTCCCTTAACTATGGAGGCTGTAAGTCTGAGGTCACAGTGTCTGGGGCTCCTTTCACTGGCCTTGAGATGGACCTCTTTTCCTTGCTATTTTCATGGTCTGCCTTCCTTCCTTTCTTCCTTCATCCTTCCCTCCCTCCTTCCCCCTCTCCCCTCTCTCTCTCTCTCTCTCTCTCTCTCTCTCTCTCTCTGGAGAATGTGTGTTTAATTATTTTCAGATGTCTTTAGAAAACAATGCTTTGTTAATTATTTAAGGATTTTTTTTTCAGTACATTTTGATCCTATTCACAGTCCATACCTATCATTACCACCCTCTCCACCTCCCCATCACTTCCCACCCAACTTCAAGATTTCATCTCATTCTCTTCCTCTTTCTCATCCTCATTCTCCTCTTCTTCATTCCTCATTGGATTCATTTTGTTGTTGTTGTTGCCCAGCTAGTTTTGGGAGCAAGCCTTCCCTGGTGTGTGGGCAACCTCCCTGCAATCACATCCTTGAAGAAAACTTACTTTCTCTCTCTCCCAGCAGTTACCAACTGTCAAAGTCAAAAGATGTTCAGGTCATGACTAGGATTTTTGCGTCAAGCCTGGAAGAGGGCTGCATATGAGGAGAGATAACTAAAACTGAAGAGCTTTGGGAAGAGGCATATGAAAAATTATAGCATCTGCAGAAATATACTGATATGAATACAACAAAGTTTAGTAGAGTTATTCCATAATGGGGGAACACAACTCCAACTGTGGGGGACCCTGCAGATGGTCATGGCAGGCAAGCAAACAAACCACAAAGACATGAGAATGAAAACTTGGTTCCAATTTCTTTCAAGAAGTTGGGTTCTAGAGCCAGGCTACCTGTACTAATTTAAAGGCAGAAGGAAGGCTCTGGCCTGGTCTTGGTAATATAGATAGTATAGGAGTCATTTGGGCTGTTAGCCATCTCTGGCCCTAATCGTAGGACCTTCAGTGAGCCTTTGGCTATACAAATAATGTAAGGGTCATTTAGACCATTAGGTGTCACTGGACCTGGTTGTGATAGCTTGGGGATCCCCTTCTTGTAAAGATTATTTAGATTACTAGCTTCCTCCTATCCTGGTTGTAGGAGCTGTATGGCCTGACCCAACAGATAATACAGATCACCAGGTTGTTAATCATCTGCAATTCCCAGCTTTCTGGACAGAGGAACAGGTTTTATGTCGACTCCTTCCTTTGAGTGAACAATTATGTGTGCTTAGCCTTTTGTGGGAGACCTGTTCCCACTTTTTCCCCAGGGCATTCTTGAGGAGGGAGGAGGGGGAAATATTTAGATAGAAAGATAGAGGGAAGAGAGATAGATAGAAACACAGGACACCCTCAGGAGGGCCTGGATCAGTACCCACTGGCCCCTTCTGTCCCTAAAAAAGGCCTTTTAAAAGAAAGCCAAAGGGGGGAACAAAAAAAACCCCCCCCAGCACAGCCAAGTGAAGACCTTGTCATTCACCTGCTAACCATGCATGTGGTCAAGCCATTCTCTAATGCAGCTTTGCTGGGTAAAGCAAGCTCAGATCTCACTAGGAAACCTCTGTGGGCCTCCACAGCTTTTCAGGTTTTCCTGGAGATTTATGGGCACAGGGACATTTGTGCCTTGCTCCCAACACCCAGCTAGACACCCATGGATCTGACATTGTAAAGACATAAGAACTACTGGCAAGAAAGATCAAATGTTGGCTCATTGTGACACCCTCATTTTAGCTCACTAGCCTCTTTAAAGAACTTACTCATATAATAGAGTATGTATTACTGCAAACTGTGTACATTTCAAGTGGACTTTCTGGATGTTTTATGTATATTTACATAATCTGTAAATATTAAGGAGAGACTGACAGAATGAGAGACAGAAAAAAGAAACCTGTTATTTTATAGCAATGTTTTCTGTCTTCTATGTTTTAATGAGTATGAAGTTCTCAGCATGTGAAAATGATTAACATATGAAGAGATGAAAGATTTGTGATGCTAATTAGTTTATTTTTTTATCATTATCAATTGTTTTCATGCATTTAAATACTTTCATATGCCAAAGAGAGATACTCTAATATTATGCTTTAAACTGGTGTCTGGGGAACCAAAAGTGGGAGTTAACATAAGAAAAGAAATTGATTGTGTAAATATGGGTAGTTTAGGAACAAGTAAATCATTTTCTTTATTAAGTAAGAACCCTATATTTTGGAGACCACAGGTAAATGAATATCAATACTTTTTGTTGCTTGTTACAATTACTGAGACTCGTTCTTTGATTAAAGCCTGCAGAAATAGTCAACATGGGGATAGTGATAATCTGACTGGTGAGAGAAAAATGAAATCAAGTGTTTGGCAGTTCTGTTCTAACAGAGGAATTATGGTGCATTGTTGAATATAGGCCTCCTTGAGTGGAATCTACAGAC